CATCAGACAAGTAGTAAAAGTTTAATTTTGCTAAAACTTGTTTTGTGGACGTTACGGTTTATATTTGTATTTTGTGTCAAAACGGAACGATTATTGATTAGTAGTTAGGTTATGATTGGCAAAAGCTTATGATTGGCAAAAGCTTTTTTTCATTCACCTTCTGTTATGCCAATATATTGTTTATCAGGTACATTCTTAGAGGAGACAACACATTTATATACCACATTTTTTGATAAGTTACATTAACTCCCCTTTGAAAAAAATATATTATTTTTTAAAAAAGCTTAAGTAATCATTTCTTAAGAATTCTTTTTACAATAGTGTCAGCAAATTACACAAATGTGTGAAAAATTGCAGTAGTTAAGACATGTGACTTCCTGTAATTTAATTTTTGTATAAATTGAGGTTTTATTAATTTGATCACTCATTTCTGATGAGTCTTTATTGATGAAACACATCGTAAAAAAAAAAAAAAACTTTTGCTAAGTGATTTTCTACTAATTTGTAATTGCTCTGTCTTTTTAAGAAAATTGAGCACTCTTTTTGTAGAACAAATTTTAAATTGTTTAAATATATATATATATATATATATATATATATATATATATATATATATATATATATATATATATATAAATGTTTATATTTATATATATATATTATATATATATATATATTTATATATATATATACATACATATATATATATATATATATATATATATATATATATATATATATATATATATATATATATATATATATATATATATATATATATATATATATATATATATATATATATATATACCCAGGAAAAAAAGTTCAATAGAATTTTCTATAAATTTTTGAAATATATATCCTATAAAAAATCTATAGAATTCTATTGAATTTCTATAAAATTTCTGTTAACTTTTATAAAAAAGTCAATAGAAACTTTTTTTCTACTTTTTTTTTTTAATAGAAAAAAAGGGTTTTATAGCAATTTCTATAGAAATTAATAGACATTCTATAGAAATTTTATAGACGCTCTATAAACCATATATTTCAAAAGTTTATGGAAAAAACTTCTTTTTATGGGTTAATTTCTATTTGTTAAAAATATATTTATTTAGTTTTACGATATTTCGAAGGAATATTGCTACCCTCGTTATCAAATTGATAAATTTGAAAATTCTATAGAATTTTTTTTCTGGGTATATATATATATATATATATATATATATATATATATATATATATATATATATATATATATATATATATATATTAGCTAACTAAAAACAAATTAATGATATTATTAACCTAACTACTAATCAATTACGTCCACAAAACAAATTTTAGCAAAATTAAACTTTTACTACTTGTCTGATGATTGTGGTAACACATGAAACTCAGAGTTGCAATATTAAATTATATTATAAACATTAACATTTAGCTTATTCTTGGTACTGCGGGTAACACAAACATTCATAATATATATATATATATATATATATATATATATATATATATATATATATATATATATATATATATATATATATATATATATATATATATATATATATATATATATATATATATGCAGTGGCGGATTAAGACTTTTTGGGGTCAGCGGCTATTTTTGTTTTTGGAGGCCTTTTTATGGGCCAGAGCCTAAAAATGATTAAAAAAAACAAAAAAAAAGATCCTCCAAAATTATTGGGGGCTCCTAAATTTGCGGGGCCTGGGGCTATAGCCCCTCTAGCCCCCTTTAATCCGGCACTGTATATATGAGCATACTGTGGCAAAACAATTTGTAGAAGACTAAAAATTAGATAAGTGTTTTTTACTAATTTATTATTGCTCTGTTCTTTAAGAACATTGAGCACTCTATTTGTTTAATAATAATAATATAAGTTTGTTTGAACTTCCAACTCTTATGCATTTTAAAGTGAGTTTTGTTAATGCCACCTATTGTTTGCGCTACAGAATGCAAGTTTGTTTTTCCCCATCCAAAATAGCAGCTTTTTGTGACACGATGACGTTTTTTTGACTAAAATATCTAGTATCGAGGAATTGAAAAGACGAATAGTTATAATAATAATAGATCGTAATTTTTGCTGCGATTACTTCTTGATATTTCGAACAGTAGTTAAAAACCTATCCAGCCAACTTTTAAATAAGTTACATAATTCGATTGCAACTTCAAAGGTTGCAAACTATATTTCTTTTTCATTTTTTCTTTTTCAACGTAAAGACGCTATTTTGATTTGCCACTAGAATAATTATACTATCACAATTTTAAACAATATTTGTCTTTGTTCTACTCTGGCTAGTCTATTACATCTCCTAGGAAAAAATTGATATTCTTACTTATGTGTTATTTTTCATGTTCTTATTTTACCTTCAAAACTAGAAAAAACAAAACAAAATCTTACTTTATATTGATTGCATTTTCAGTCATTTTTTGTTCCAAGAACACCAATAATAAATCTATTCAATTCATTTAGGGAAAATTTCCGGGCTAATTCAAAACGTTGACTTTTTTTCCGTTTAAATAATTAGTCGCAGAATTGGCTTTGTTCCACAAGCTCCATTCTGCTCTTCATCATTGGGAAATCTCTGCAAAAATTGTGGTAATAGTTCATCTTAAATAATTTGCTGGTCTTGATTTTAACGCATAATGCCTTTAACAATTAGAAGTTTCCTAATGCCCTAGAAAATTATTTTCTGTTGGTAGAATGCATTTCCACTAAAAAAAACTTGATTTATTAATCATAGTTTAGAAAACCGATCTATCCAAAAAGTAAACCTAAAATAGAATCAAACCCCGTAGAAAAAATAGAATCAAACCTCAAAACATGTGAGTAAATAAAACATAATGGTTTTTACGGTATAGTTTTTACCCTTTTCCATTCATCCTTAGTAAAGTTTTTATTTTTTTTCCATTCCAAGCGTTTTTTAACAATGGTAGGTGTTTTCTTTATAATAATAACTTTTTCATTATAAACTAAGATAAAAATATTTTTAAACATAATTGGTTTTTGGTCGCTGAAAAGTTAAACCAAGTTTTTTAAATCGACTCTGCATTGTACATTGAGGTCAATATCTTCATTTTTTATTTGGTTGGTTAGCAGATATATATTTACTGGATATACTCCATTTTCTAAGCTCGTATTTTGGATTTTTTAGTCGTTTCTAGAATTGATGATTCTTTTTCTCCCACAAGCTCTTTTACTGGCAGGTTATAAAGGTCTTAAGTCTGATTTTACTTTACTCTCTTAACTGTGCTTTGAAAAATTTTAAGTATCTTTTATTATCAAGGATCTATTATTATCTGGATCTCTTATTATAAGGATCTATTATAGAAGGATCTGTCATTATAAGGATCTGTTATCTATATAAGGTACTGATTTTGCTTTACTTTTTTAACTGTATATTGAAAAATGCGCATTTTTCTCAATTTACAGGAATAGATAACTTCTCCCTATAGTATATATATATTTTTTATATATTTTTCTAATTAAGAAAAATGCTTGGTTATGTAATTACTTACGTACAAAAATAATAACAGATGTTTATTATCGTGAAAAATTATATCCAAAAATCTTTCAAACTAGAGAAGTAATATAAACATTAAAGTGGGTTAAAACTTTTTTTGACATTTTTTCTAGTTACACCCCGTAAATAATAAAATAATACTTAATAAAAAATTTATTAGACAAAAAGTATTTTTAGCAAACCCAAATGGCCCTTGAATATTTAACGGGACCCTAAAAATAAATGTCAACCTGGTACCCTAAAGAAGTGAAATTTAATTTGAATTTTTTTTTTATAAAAACATGACAAATAAAAAACATTTAAACTAAAATACCTAAAAAAAATATCAAAAACCATTAAAAAAAAAGAAATACCTAAAAAACAATAGCTAAAATATTAATATGTACACACAATGATTACTATTTTTGAAATTTTTATAAACTTTTTTTTTGAGTACCAGGTTGACATACTTTTGAAAAAAGTTGTTCAGATATTATTTGAATCCGTTTAATATAAAGGGTCAGTTCGGACCCCTTAAAATAATTTTTATTCAAAAATTTTTTAAATCCAGTGTTATTTTATTATTTATAAAAAACCTTGGGGTGTATTAGGAAAATTTTTCAAAAAAAAGTATATTTCAACCTACTCTAATGTTTATATTACTTGTCTTGCTTGAAAAGTTTTTGCTTACCTATAAAACTATAAAAAAATTTTTTTTTCAACACTTCTAAATCCTGACCTTAAAACAAAATATTTCAGCCAAAAACTTTTTTAAAATAACACTATGAACTACTTTATTGCTTTATGATACCATAAATAATTATTAACGAGGACATGGGTATTGCTGTTAGTAAATTTATAGAATCTAAACATCATGAGGTGCTTATTTGCAAAAGAATTTAAGTCCCAGTTAATTGATTTTGAAAAAACGACGAAAAACTGAAGTTGTGTTACACTAGTGTTACACTTTCTTGAGGAACAGTTTCAGTCTGTCAGATTTTAATAGAGTCACTTTTAAAGATTTAAAAGTAATAAAAGCCTAGCTGGGGTCAGGGCCGCCGAGAGCTGTCACTCCGCCTGGGACCGCAACCCTGATTAGCACCCTTATTTATCAAATTTTCCCTATATTATAGATTAAGGGCTTTCTTTTTTTTTAAGTACCGTCTTTTCATTTGGTGCCCCTTGGATATCTGCCGCCCGGGACAAACTGTCTCTTTCTTCCCTATCCCCTGTGGGCGGCACTGGCTAGGGTAGGGCAGAACTTGTAGTTATGCTACTTATTTTTTAAACTTAACAAAAGGTCAAACTTGTCATATTGTAAATCATATGTTTAAAAAATTTAGCGGTTGGATTATTCTCACATTTTTATATAAATAACTACGCCTGCTTTGGCCCAAAATATATATGTAACCATTATCAAATAGTCACAAAATGATAGAAAATGAATGGCCTTAAAAAATGAAAAATGGCTTTCAATCTGAAGTTCCGGTACAATTGGACCTAAGTTAATGCCGTAAAAAAATGGCTGACGATTTAACGATAGATGGAGTTGAAAGTAATTCTTTTCTTTCTGTCGATGAAGACAATCTTAGCATCATCGATGAGAATTTTTATAATCAACCTTTGATAGCACTACAACCTAATTCTCATTTAGGTGGCAATGAAACAGTTTCAGATGGGTTCTTTGAAGATTCTTTAGTTGATATCCCTTTAGTTGGGGAAGGGCAAGAAATTTCAACTGAAGCAGCGATACAACAAACCCCTGAAAAGTCAGGTATTAAGCGAAAAAATAATAAAAAATCAAAACCAAAACTCAAGGTAAAAAATAAATTGACAACATCCAATCTTGATAACGAGAACAGTAACGATATCGATGTTCCTCGTAAATGGTCAAGAAAAAAGGTTCAGATTAAAACATTTGAAGGAGAGTTCTCAGTTATTGTATGGGCTTCAGGTATTCTATATTTTACACATTTCTTTATTTATAAATTTCTATAATATATCTATATTATAAATTTTTTTACATTTTATTTACCTATTTCTTTAATTCACACATAATATAATATACACAGTAGTTTTTTTCAGACATAATAAGTGTGACTATTATAAGTGTATATAAATCATAAAAACAATTTCGAATATAACAGTCGCAATACAAAAAGTAAATCTCTGTATGAAAAAACATTATTGCACACAAAACTATTATTATGGTGAAGCTAATGTATAATAATAATTTTAATTGGCAGTGCATACTAAATATAGTTTATCTTCTTCTAATCTAATGTTATTAACTAGTTAGTAAGCAGTGTCTATAAAGTTTTTAAATTATTTAAAGTTTATATTATGTGAATAAAATTTTTAGAAGCAGCATTTTCAAATACTGTAATTTTTTAAAACAGGTAGGACAATGGAGGGCATTAAGACCACTTTTTTCCATTTGATAACTTAAATATAATCTCTTTATGTAGTTAAAGTGCCCTTGGCTTCGTATAAAATGTCAACTATGCAATAACATACCCATTTACTCCTTTTATCTCTACTTAAATGATCACTGCTTTCTCCAATTATTAGAATTTTTTTTCTTTTTTTTTTCTGTTACTTTATAAGCAATTAACTAATATTAGAAAATCTAAAACAAAAATTATTTTAATTAAAAAAAAACAAACAAATTTTTGTATAAAGGTGAACAACATTTTATGCAGAAATAACAGCTATATAGTAGTAAACACCTGCAATTAAGGCAAACATGTTTTTTTGATGTTTCACATAGTACATTTTTAGGCATTGTGCAAACTTTAGTATATTCATCCAAATGTCAAATGAGAATGTTTTGCAAAATATTGTCGTGAATTTAGCCTGAGAACTGAAATATCCCAAAATTTTGACACCATTGCCCCATAAGTAAGGGCAGTGAGCTAATAATAATATTTTTTTTACTATCTTATAACACATTTAAATTTATCAACATGTTTTAAATTTGATCTTATAATCTTTTAGTGATAAAAAGTTATGATCATGTGAGATTTTCACCCTCCCCATTATGAGGGGTTTGTATATTTTACTTGATCATAACTTTCAAACACTAAATGGTTATTATATGAAATTAAAAACCTGTTAATGAATTTGATTATATTATAGAATAGTATAAAAATGTTTTATTGCCTCATTGCCCTTACAATTGGGGGTATAGTGCAAACATATTGGGATATTTTTATTCCCAGGCTCTAGTCAGTGCAATATTTTGCAAAAAAATATTCTCATTTTACATAAGTATAAACATACTTAAGTTTGGAGTTAGCGCGTAGCCTTAAAGTGTCATATCTGAAACATCAGAAAATCATGGTGACACACAGATAGTTACATCAAGTAACTAGTAGTAACAGTAGAAATTGCATTAAAAAAAAAATTAACAATAAAAAATTTTAAGCTTGATTTTTTACATAGGCTCAGAGCAATTGCCACACTTTAACATCATCTTGAATTTAACATCATGACTTTAACATCATCTAATTCAGTTATTACAGTACATTTTACATGATACCAAATTTTACAAGCATCACAGCACACCCACTTATCACCTCTATCTCTATGGACACCTAAATTAGGACTTACAGTTACATTGTTGTCATCATAATCACTATCATTTTTATCTGTAGAAACTCTTTTTTGTATTTTTTCTTTAACTTTTTTTTCTTTTCTTGTTTTTTTTTGAAGCTTCTTCTCTTGTTTGTTTTAAGTATGTTTCTGATGTTAAACTTTCACCATAGTGAAACTTAATAACCAGAGCAGATCTTCTATGATAGGAGGTCTCTGCACCTTGTGCAGAGATGCACATGCCTAACCTTGTGCATCTCTGCACAAGGTTAGACATTAAATATGATCTTGTGAGGTGATTAGTAGTGAATGTAGATTTCTTTACTGGTAGCTGAAAAAATTGATTAAACAAATATGTGTCAATAGCATCCTTGTTTAGAAGAAAAATGCCAGTTCCTTTAAACCACTTTTGATTTGTTCCACAGTAAAAGAACTGTGAAAAAGGGTGCTTAGTAATTCTGGAAAATGCTTCTTTGAGACTAGTCCATTATGTGTTCTGGCATATTTTAAAAGTAAACCTTGCCATTTACATTTTACGGATCAAAAAACAGATGTATCTAAAGGTGGGTAAGATCCGCAGGAATGCGTAGAAGAATACCTTTTTTTTGGCTAAATCAATAAGTGAGGAGCTAATATGAGAAATGTGGCCATCAAATATAAGTACATGTGTGCAGTTTGCAAGGTGCTTTGAAAACATTACAAATATATTTTGAAACTATTCCAAAAAATGAGGACACTCCATCCAGCCCTTATTACTAGTAGTATAAACAGCTCCATTAGAGCCACCTTTAACCCAGTCTATATACAATTTTTTTCTTTTGTAGATTACATATGGTAGCAATATCTGTCTGATAGCAGAGCATGCACAATTTATAGTAATTTGCTCAAGGCCTGAGCCACCAATGCTCTGCAACACTCTGCAGTCTTTTCTGTTTGAAATTTACCGCCAGCGCACGAAAAAGCGCTGGCCGGACAGTTATTATTTGTCCAGCATGCGTGATTAAAAAATTTTTTTTTGTTGTACTTCATTAATTAAAATTAGATAAAGAAAAAATATTTTTTTGCAATTTAAAAAATTGAAAGCTTGAAATTTTTGAGCGCTTAAATAAGCGCCAGCCATAGTATTGGGGTGTGTGTGAGGGAGCGCAAAACTGCAAAAGTGCAAAAGCGCTCATCAAATGGAGAAGACTGATTCTTGTTTGTGTGAAAGTGTGTAGGGCGTATTAAACTCAATAATAATATGTGACTTATTTCATCATTTTATATTTCAATTAGAACGTTATTAACTAACTCAACAAAAAAACGCTCCTCTAAAATCAATTTATACACGATTATTTATATCATATAACATTTCCCCAAGAGAGATATTATAGGTATTTTTAATTTTATAATGATATATATACAAAATTCGCTAATTGCCTCATTAGTTAAGAGAATCTCTAAGGTCACTATATGACGCTTAGAGACGTTTATAATACAACTATATTATTTACATTAAACTACTATTTACAATAATCGCCTCATAAACATACTTCTCCCTTTTGACCAAATGGTCAATATCTTTTGGTTCATTTGGGTCGAGAGGGCCCAACTTGGTTATCAGGTGTTTCAAGATAACCTTTCCAACTTGAACATTGGCCACACACACTAACCCATCAATTCCAGGGAAAACCTCACGACCAAGTGGCCAATTGCCTCTTGAAGTATTTTCAGATATCACCAATACCAGATCGCCTAACGATAAGTTTCCCATTACGTTATTCCATTTCTTTCATGGTCCAAGCATGGGTAACCATTCTTTTATCCAGCGATGCCAAAAATGTTTTATTAATTCTTGGACAAAAATGTTTTATACATTCTTGGTCACCATCTTCTTTTTGGGTTGAATGAAGTAATATCCACTGCATCAGTGACGAACTTACCACCTAATTGTCCATTAAAAAATGAGTTGGTGTAAGGGATGTGTAGTCTTTAGGATCACTCAATTGATAAGTCAATGGTTGTGAATTTATAATTACTTCTGCCCCAGTAAACGCTGTAATAAGTTCTTCATCAGTAATATTTCCCAGTTGGGAATAAATTGCTTGATTTGCGGCTTTTATCATGATTTCATGAACTCCTCCGAAATAAGGGGCTGCTGGTCGGTTAAAATGCCATTTAATACCAACAAGGCTTGTTGCCTCGTTTATTCTTTTCTTTTGGCCATCAGTGAAACTTCGTAGCTCTTTGTTTGCTAATACGAATTTGCCTGTATTGTCCGATATCATTTCTTTTAACGTTCCTCTTCGACTGCTCATCCTAAAAAACGCATTTAGAAATGAGTCGGCGTCCAACGCAAATACTACTTCAAGGTGAACTGCTCGTGAAGACAAGCAAGTAAACAAGGCTAAATAACGTTTTGCTGTTTTTGTCCTCTTCCTTGAATGGTTATGAACGAACCATCATCAACAGCACACCTTTCAAAGGTCTTCATACTAAATTGCAAATATTTTGTTGGTAATGGTGCCATAATCTGCGTTGCTGACTTTGCTTTTCTTCGCATGCATTCTGCACACTCTTCTTCCCATTTTTTTTTATCTCTTCTCTTCCAGAGACTACCCAATACTTTGTAGACAATTCCGCCAAGATATGATTTACACCACATATATGCTGTCCTGCTTTGTGACAATCTTTTACGATCAACTTGTTTATGTGGTTATGTCCTGGCAAAATAACTTGGTAAGAAGAGTTGTTTCTTCCTTTTTCTCTCTCATTCGTTTCTTTAAATACAATAGTCTGTCATGAGCTTCCTGACAACCATCTGTTCCACATTTTTTTGATTTCTCGCATTTGTTTCCAACATGATCATTACCCAAACAACGATAACATAGATGATGAAACTTAGCTTGTTCCCATCTTTTACTTACTGCCAGATTTGAAATTTTTACATTCCCAAACTGCATGTTTACCATCACAAATTTCGCACAATTTTATTACATCGTCTTTAAGTTTTTCTCCAAAGTATGTTCTTTGTTTTTCTTTAAAGTTTTTAAAGGGTTTTTCTTGGTTATACTTTGTATCTTCCAAACCACATAAGGTTTCCTGGGCAACTATATAAAACTCCACTTTTTGAATAAGCCATACGTACAACGATTCCACCCCAGGATTTTTTTGCTTTTCAAATAACCATTTTAAAAATACACTTAGCATTGTTTTTGGTAGCTTCTTCATAAGTTTAATGTAAAGTAAGCCATCTGCTAACTCTTCGAATTTTCCCAATTCTTTTAAATTTATGATTGCAATGTCCAACATATCAGCAAAGTTTAAAGATCATTTGGGTTGTTTGGTTTTACTGGACTAAAGTTTTCCACTCTCTCCAAA